AAAGTGTTTTTCTCTTTGTTTTTGCCATTGATAAAAACTTCATGCATACATATTGAATTTTCGTCTTTTGGCATATTAAAATCCAAATATGGCGTCTTTAGTCTTAGCAAATCAAGAAACACCACACAACTAAACTAGGCCGTGAGTCCTTGGGAACGAACGACCCCAGAAGAAAAAAAGAACTGGTCTTACCACGTTTATTAACTTGAACGATTCGGTCACACTTGCCGATTGAAAAACAAGTTTGTGACATCATATTTTGGTGTTCATAAATTTGTCCATCAAGGACCGATCGATTTTTGTGTATAGTTTTGTAGGAACCGTTCGGTCTTGTATATAGTTTTGTATTATGATAGAATTTTGTCAAGTTCTAAATTTAAGATTATTTTAGGATTACTGTAAGTTAACTTTATTCTCAAAAACTGTTCTACTTTATTATTATGTGATGACTCTTATATATAGTTTTCAACTATATTTTTGGGATGTTACAGACAATACTCAAAATGAGACGCTGAATCTTAAGACACTATCATTGAGAGGCTAATTTTTCCCGTATGGAACATGTTAGTTTAAAATTTGACAAGGATTTTATTTGTACATAGTTTAAAATATAAAATATGAAAAGATATTTATTCGTCTTAGTTGTGGAAACTCGAAATTATAGTATTTGATATTTAAACAGAAGAGATATTAGTAATAAGGTACTCAGCAATTTGTTGATATAATTTTTAAAATATCAAATTTATAATATATGATATTTTATTAATGAGAATACAAAACTATTCTACACTATTACGAAATAGTCTCTAAATTGCTTATGCATTCAAGAGAAGGAATTTACACTCGCAATATTATGCCGAGACGCATGTCATCTCATGCCTAACTAAAGTTTTGTAGAAATGCAGATAATCCACTACAGTTTTAATATAATCAAGGTTTAATAGGTTCGGAGGTCCCTATATTTGGGGGTTCGTTTCAATTGGGTACTCCAATTTTGAAAGTGAATCAATTAGGTCCCTAATTTGGTAATGTGATTCAATAATAGGATCTCCATTAAAAGTGATCACCTCTCAAAATCATGTTTTTTCGTAGGAAATTAATATCTGAAACCTTACCAAATCAGGTTTTTCGAGGTAACAATTCTCCTCAGCTGGCCACGTCATAACAAAGTTAACCGAGTTAACTCAATTAACGGAGATCCTATTATTGAATCACATTTACCAAATTAGGGACCTAATTGATCACTTTCAAAATTGGAGGACCCAATTGAAACGAACCCTGAAATATAGGGACCTCCGAACCTATTAAACCTATAATCAATTATGTTACAAAATTAATATCTGTTAAGTGAAAAAATCAATTTAAATTTAAAATACTTTAATGTTTTATAGATTGTAAAATTTCATTTTCCATATTAAAACGCAAGGTAAACCTACAAAATATAGTATTTGTTTCACTTGGTGTGAATTTTGTTATCTCAAACCATTCTGACTTCAATACTCCAATTCTCACCCACCCATATACTTGTTAGATCATTTTAACTTTCAATGGTTAATATATATATTACTTGCATTCTAAGTTTATTGAATCGATTAAGAGACTAATTCAAGACACAGAAGGGGAATCGGAGTTATAAGGTATTAATAAAATAATACTAACAATTAAATTATATATAAAATAACATAAGAAAATATGGAATCTTAATTTAATAATACTAAAAACTAAAAACAACGTATGTTGTAAGTTTTTAATATTTAAACTAAGCATAAAAGTAAAATATTTAAATTTTTGAATTTGAGATTTAACATTATATAAAATATTTTGAAAGTAGTAAGTTATTGTAAAAAGAAAGGTGACTAAGCTTACTTTTTCTTATTTTTGACAAAAAAATAAAAGTAAGATTTTGTTAGTTTAGAAAATTAAATTTTTAACAGTATAAATTCTGCCAATTTGTAAATGTTAAAAGAAAGAACTGGAAGGTTTTTTTGGGGTTGGTGTGACCCCCAAAAAAAACAAAATAATTGTTTTTCTAAACAATAAGATTATAAGAGAGTAAGTAGATTAGTTTGAAACGTTGAAACTACTTAACCACAAAAGAAGAAAAAGCTGTCGACCTCTGAAACACGGTGAAGTTTGTTCATACATTTCATAAACTTGTTTGAACTTCCCATTCATTTGAAATGAATTCTATAAATTTTTACAGACTGAAAGTTCCATTTCCATTTTTACCAAAATATGTTATTGCCTTCTACACTCCCAAAATTACTAACCGTACCGGAACACTACTAGAAAAAGATAACTTAAATTAACGCTTTTAAAATACTTTATCTCATTGCGCCACCCCCCACAGCTGCCGCTGCCACTTCCATCTTTGCCACCACTGCAAAGGAAGAAGAAAAGAGGAAAAACGCTGTAAAGGAAAAAAAGAAGAGAGAAAATATAGAGGGAAGTTTGTTCTGGAAAGTTCTTTCGTGACTCATTTCATGTGTTCGAGAAAGTTTATTCTAAAAATCTTATTTTCGAAAGCTTGTTTTGGAGTATATTTTGATACATTCTGAAAATTCTATTATGAAAATCCCATTTCAGAAATCAGATTCCAAAATTTATGAAAAGTTTGTTTCGAAAAATTTCAAAAACATGAAATTTGAAGGTCACTTTTACTTAGGATAAAATGGTCATTTTGAAAATTTAGAAATTATTTTAAAAAACATGGGGGTACAGGAAAATCTGAAAGCTCGGTGCACAAAGAACAGAGGTTCGATAACAAATTACGGGCAAACTAGAACGTGCTAAAAAAAGTAGAAACGGTTCAATGGTACAAACTAAAAATACCCTCATTTTCGCATATGTTCTCAAACACATGGTAAAATATTCGATAGACATCATTGAGAAAACTTATTTCTGTTGTTTTAACAATTACACCATGCTAAATTCTTATGTATGAGTATGAAAAAACTACTAGAGTTATATTGAGTTACACGGTTAAATAACCAGCGTTTTGGACCCTTTATTTAGACATAACAAGTATGAACATATAAGAAAAGCAGGTTATTTCCGTTTTCAATACTCAATATTTGCTTCTATAAACCTCATAAATATTTTTCACTCTCATCTTTGTAGTATTCACTAATTTACCATTTGCAATAACTCAAATCATGACTCTTGTGGAGTTCTGTATGTGGGGGTTTTATTTGATATTGATGTTAGCTCAGCACCAATTTCAAGATGCCCAAGGTGCAGAGTCCGTACCAGGTCTTGGCATCAATTGGGGTGCATTAGCATCCCACCCTTTGAATCCCAACATTGTGGTAAATATGTTGAAAGACAACGGGATCAAGAAGGTAAAACTCTTCGATGCAGATCCTTGGACCGTTGGTGCTTTGGCGGGAACAGACATTGAAGTCATGGTGGGAATTCCTAATGATCAATTGATTAAATTTGCTGCAAGTAGCCATAGTGCAGACGATTGGGTGAAAGCAAACATCACCAAACATCTTCATGGTCGTCATGGGGTCGTAAACATCAGGTATAACATTAAGTTCCATGCACCTTCCCATCATGGTAAACCAAATTACTTCTCCCAATTTAAAAACATTAAAAAAAACATGGCAGTGTCGTTTAAGTTTGTGAAAATTCAGAAAGTTGTTCTCATTTCGCGTGATCATGCTATTATTGCAGATACGTATCTGTCGGAAATGAACCATTCATGAAAGCTTACAATGGTGCGTATGTGGAGATCACATTCCCAGCAATGCAAAATATTCATAGGGCCATCGACAAGGCTGGTCTTGCAGACACAGTGAAGGTGACTACAGCTTTAAATGCTGATGTTTATGAGTCTCCTTCAAACAATCCCTCAGATGGAGATTTTCGGACTGACATTCGTGACGCTATGCAACAAGTACTGAGTTTCCTTCACGAAACGAACTCGCCATTTCTTGTTAACATATACCCTTTCCTTAGTCTCTACCAGAACGACAATTTTCCAGTAGAATTTGCCTTCTTTGACGGTCAAGGAGGAACAGTTGAAGACAAAGACGTGGAATATAGCAACGCGTTGGACGCAAATTTAGACACCCTTGTTTGGTCATTGAGAAAAGCTGGCTACCCTGACATGAGAATTGTGGTTGGTGAAATTGGATGGCCAACTGATGGTGACAAAAATGCCAACAACAAGAATGCAAAAAGGTTCTTCCAAGGGCTACTCAAGAAAATGGCAAAGAAGCAGGGAAGCCCACTTCGCCCTGGAGCCCTGGAGATGTATCTATTTTCTCTGAGTGATGAGAACATGAAGAGTATTGAGCCTGGTAAATTTGAGCGTCACTGGGGAATTTTTGGCTACGATGGAAGTGTTAAGTTTCCGATTGATTTTTCTGGTCAGGGACAAGACAAATGGCCTGTAGCAGCGAAAGGTGTTGTGTACCAGGATCGCATATGGTGTATCCTAAACCCTGATGTTAAGAACTTGAGCCTTCTACCAAGTGCACTGGACTATGCTTGTGCTGCTGCGGATTGCACCAGCCTAGGGTTTGGCTGTTCTTGTGATAATTTAGACCTGGCTACCAATGCTTCTTATGCTTTCAACCAGTACTTTCAAACAAGGGACCAAAGTGTTCAGGCTTGCAATTTCAATGGGTTGGCCACTATTGTTAAACAGGATCCATCAAGAGGAAGTTGCATATTCCCTATAGAAATTGATAGCAGTCGTGACATGCTGAGACCAATTCATACCCTTGGAACCCTTTCCATTGCCTTCGCATTCTTTTTTATCACATTCACATAGAAATTATATTCAAGAATTATAATTCTTAAAATTCACATTTGACTTTTTAGTACGACAACATCTAACATACACACATGTTAACTAGTTAAGAACATCTAACATGAGAAAACAAAAGTACATAAAATAAGAAAAAAAAAACACGTGTTGCATTACTTTTATTTTTCTTATGTTCTTTGTCTTGTTTTAATTTGTAAGGTTATTTCCTCGTACTTACATCTATAACATGCGAAGTTTCTCAGCTGCTTACAGGTGTTGTGATAGTAACATGAGACTTTTGTCACAGCCACACCTTTTTTTGTTGTTGTTAAACATCAAATCATGTCAACTCCCAAAATAAGAATTTTTGGAACATCTTGTACGTTTTTGCATGATTTGTTGTCGTTACATGGCCATGGATTAGTTCATTATAAGAGTATGATACATTGAACCTTTCCTTGGTTCAGATTTGTCCTTTTGGAGTTTGACTTCCAGTCCTCACCCAAAATCTAGTTAATAATTACTTAAAGGATACTCTAAAAAGTTTTTATAAACCAAAAGGATAGAAATACATTAATGAAATTTGATTAAACTGCTCTTATAGGTGAATTTAGAACATATACAGTGCATAGTTAATCCGTTGATTAATAAACATTAGTTGTGTTCTGTAGCATTAGAACTTATTTATGTGACGGGGTTTTAAAATTTTAGTGATGCAGCTTGTAAAAAAATTGTGTTTAACAAAAGAATGATAGAAATGTAAATAAAAATTATAAAAGTGTGAATGATTTTTACTTTTTTTTTTTCACATTGAAAGTTCTGAAAACTAATGTATAGAGAATGAAGTTTGTTTTACTTTTCACATAAAAGGAGCTAATTAATGTCCCCACAAGAACGTACCAGGAAAGGAGGTCCAAAAGGAGAAAAATCAAAAGTTGATTATTATCTAATCACATTTAGCTAAATATAATTGACCTTTATTTACTTGACCAGGGCATAAGAAAAGAGAATGTTGTTCACACACGACATGACACTTTGGATAAATCCAGATGTATCCTCTGTCCCGGGCATTCTAAGAAACAATGATATCAAAATTCTGACTAAATAAATTCAATATGAAATAAAGTGAGTTTTCTTTGGATATAATATAAAGATAAAGAAAAACATATAAGTAAATCTCTTTTTTTTTCTAAAAAATACTCACCATACTTTTTCTTTTATCTTCTTTCTTTCATTCTATTACATAATTTATAACCTTATATTATTTTCTCTCTTTAAATATATTAATTATCGTTTAAAGATAAGAGACTCTCATGAATTAAAGAACACTACTAAAGTGTTTTAAATAACGGTTATCTTGACGTAGATCAACTTCACTTAAATAGACTCTTTATCTACCAACTAAAATTAAAATAAAAAATAATAAATGACAGTTCATACACCTTATAAGGTAAGAAAAAAAATAACTTTTTTAGGTCTCTATACCCTTTCTCTTTAGCATTGACAAGAAATTCATATCCACCCTATCAATATCATTAATCAAATGGATTCCATTTTATGACTAAAACCTTTGTGTAAGACTAAATGTTCTCATATTTTATTCCTTAAAATGGAGTAAAAATTGATTTCTCACTAAAGAAAATTTAAATGTTATAAAAAAACATAAAATTAAAAAAAATATTTTTTTTAAATAATTTCAATTTTATAGATCTAAGTAAAAAAAAAAATAGAAATATAAGAACTGAAATTCTAAACCATTAGTCAACTATTAATACTTCTTTTGATTAATAATTTTATTTTGATAACTTGATTTTTAAAAAAGAAATATTTAAATGAAATTTTTTAGTAATTATTAGAGGAGAGAATAATGGAGTTAGATATCATAATACTCAACAGGTGAGTAAGTATATAATTGTGTCTTATACCAAAAATGTCCATTTAATATTTAGTAGAAATTTTATCGTGCAAATATTCTTAAATAAGAATTCTTTTTCTCATGCTTATCTATAAATATACATAGAGGATACATCATTTTAGTGTCTTTTTTTGTTTTTTGTTTTAATTTTATCTTCATAATAATTACCTTTTAAATTTAAATAATTATTCATAATAAAAAAATAATTTTCAGTTTTATCATTTTAGTAACTACTTTTTTTAATCCAAATAATTATTCATTATAAATAAAAGAATTAATAACTCTTTTATAATTTTAGTAATTACTTTTTCAAATTTAAATACTCATAATAAAAAATTATTTATACTTATTAACTCAAATAATTATTCATTATAAATAAAAGAATTATTTAATTTTTTATTATTTTAATAACTACAATTTCAAATTTAAATAATCATTAAAAAAATATTTATATAATATTTTTTATTTTAATAACTAAAATTTATTTTATTTATAACAATTATTGTTTGCAAAGTTTTCATCATTGAATTAACAATTATTGTTTGCAAAGTTTTCGAAATATTTGTGTTGTAAATACAATTTGTCATCTTTTTCTTTGCATATAAACAACCTATTTATGTTTTCTCATCATTTTCTAGTATTTAAGCCAAACTAAAATAAAACAAAATTATACATAATTTGCAATAATTATCCAAAATCGTTCATATTGTGGTAGTTATGTATGCTAAAGCCATGTTTTACAATAGTTATCATATACGTCAACATCTCTTTCAAGCTATCTTTAAATTTTGTCTTCTTGATGTGCTTTCTTAAAGGCTTGATTGATCATTCTTGGATCCTTCTTTTTTATTTATTTAATTTGATATCCTCTTCTATTTCTCTATACTCTCAACAATTCCCTCTCCCAATGCATGTAATATTACATGTATCATTTCCCAAATTCCATAATATTAGTGCTTCATCATGCTCATTTATTAAGCAATTGTAAGTATCAGCATGAACAACTCATCTCAAATTCAACTTTGTTGTTGTCTTGATCGGTAGCCATTTGATTGTCTACCTTCGTGATTATTCTTTTGAATTTTACTTAACTCAGAATTTATATCTTCAGAGTTGTGATTAGCTTTGTATGTCTCCCATTCTCTATTTCATCTTCTTAATGTGATTGCCGCTTTTTTAATTGTTAAACCTAGCTAATTCACTTTCAACATTTTTCTCCATCCGATGTAAGTTGGCTTCTCATTGCACTTAGTACATTAGATTGATTAAAAGAAAATAATTTGATTTAGATCAGTATGATCTTGAAATATGTTTAGATTTTTGGCGCTTAACACGGAAATCAGAGGCAAATATCATGTTGGGTGGAGTGATTAAGTTCCCATCGATAAACAGGGACGACCCATCATCAATGGACAGCTACTACATATTTATTCAAAAATTAAAAAAAAAAAATTGAATATATATACATGGACATAACGCCACCACACTAGCTATGCATACATCTATCGTCTTAAAAAAGCAATAACATGGTATCATATTGTGTTATTTTCACGGTCCCATTTATACCTATTCTGCAAGATTAAAGTGGTAGGGAACCCCTACTTGCTAGCTCCTACGTCATCACCCTGACATCATCTTCATCTGTCTTATCTTGACTCCCTCTGTGAGCAAGTTCGCAGCATCCTCCAAGGTGTTTCGAAGTATCTTCAAATATCAAGTATATTAAAAAAAAAAGAAAAAAAGAGAAAGATTAAACACTTATTCCCTTATATTTATTTTATATTTTTTATTACTATATATTATATATATCCAGTGACGGTGTGTTTTGGTTCCAGCCCTGGTAAAAGGCCAAAGACTCTTGGGTCTCTGCAACATATCACCACACCACCATGGAACAGTATTTTGGAAACCCTAATTTCTGTCACTCTGCCGTGGTCAACATGGCAGCATCTCCAGCCTCTGAGTTCAAGATATCTGATTATCTTATATTGGAAGATGTTGCTGATTATCATCATGAATAGTGTTGGTCACTGAGCACTGAAACTGAATCATCGGAGAAAGCAAACTCTAGCGATGCCAGTCATGGATTTGGTGATGCAACCTCCTCCACCACCACCACCACCAACAACAACAACATGTAAGTGTTTTTTTCTTGATTTATGTTGTTTTTTTCGTTAAACAAGAAAATGTATATGGTGTATATTCTATGCTATTTCGTGTGTGTAAATATTATTAATTAATGTTGCCGGGATTCAACGTTAATATGACAGAAAGTGCAAAAATAAAGGGATTAAGCAAAAGAAGGCAGAAGTGAGTCAAAGCATCACGTTTAGAACCAGATCGCAGCTCGAGATCATGGATGATGGATATAAATGGAGGAAATACGGAAAGAAGACAGTGAAGAACAATTCCAACCCAAGGTAATTACTCATAACTATTAATTTCACAGATTATATGAGAAAACAACTCTCTTTATAAAAACAAGAAAAACCCTTTTCACAAAAGAATTGGAATCGATTTAAGATACTGGTAATCGAGGATTTTATTTTCTATACTCTGAGACAAATTAAAGAAACACATAGATTAAAGGAACAGTAGCAATAAAAGGAACCTGATGTAACATAGTTAACTCGATGTCCATTGGTTCGTTTGACTTCGCTTCCTGCATCATGAATATCACATAATGCATGCAAATTTTATGTGTTTGAATAGCTTTGAAGGATTACGTTAGGATCTAAGTTGGTGTATTTAGAAGCACATGTGAAATAATTAAAGAAATCAAGATGGTGTAGACATGAATGGAGAGGAAGTGAGGGAATCATGTCAACCATGCACTGTAAAATAGGATAAGATATTGGGCCCGATACCTAGCTAGAAAGATAGAGATGAAAGTGGTGGCGGCTGATATATATATATATATATATATATATAAAGATATATAGTGATTAAAAGAGGGGGACAAGGACTAGTCCTGGGCCTTAATCATATATGATTGGAGTGTTATCAATGGTGAAGCATTATGTGGGGATCTGCTTGATTAATAAAAGTAACATGCTTTGCAGTGAGATTAGGACAGCTAAGTAAGCATTCTTTCTTTATGAACACTGCA